CCACTGTAATTATCTACCCTAGAAATTATCTTCGACTAGTGTGTGGGTGGCTATACATCATGGGTGGCGAGCATGTGGGCGTGTTGTGCAGTCATGGGCGGGGTGGGTGAGTGGGCGGCCATGGAGACCAGCTTGTGGGCGTGTTGTGCAGTCATGGGTGGGGTGGGTGAGTGGGCGGCCATGGAGACCAGCTTGTGGGCGTGTTGTGCAGTCATGGGCGGGGTGGGTGAGTGGGCGGCCATGGAAACCAGCTTGTGGACGTGTTGTGCAGTCATGGGCGGGTGGGTGAGTGGGCGGCCATGGAGACCAGCTTGTGGGCGTGTTGTGCAGTCATGGCGGGGTGGGGTGAGTGGGCGGCCATGGAGACCAGCTTGTGGGCGTGTTGTGCAGTCATGGGCGGGGTGGGTGAGTGGGCGGCCATGGAAACCAGCTTGTGGGCGTGTTGTGCAGTCATGGGCGGGGTGGGTGAGTGGGCGGCCATGGAGACCAGCTTGTGGGCGTGTTGTGAAGCCATGGGCGGGGTGGGTGAGTGGACGGCCATGGAGACCAGCTTGTGGGCGTGTTGTGAAGCCATGGGCGGGGTGGGTGAGTGGGCGGCCATGGAGACCAGCTTGTGGGCGTGTTGTGAAGCCATGGGCGGGGTGGGTGAATGGGCGGAGTCATGGGTGCATCATGGGTCACGGAGTATTCAGTTCACAGTATAATGACGGAGGATCGAGTCTCCGCTCCTCCCAGACTTCAACTTGGGCGAAAAGTCGACTTGTAAGCCAGCCTCAGGCTCGATCAAGGCTCTTAAACATCATGGCTTCGCTCACCTGATGGTCGCGCAAGATACAAACCGACGAGTAAGGAGAAACTGATGTCTTGAGCACGTTTCGCCCACACTTGTAAAACATTCCTTATTTCTGTTATTGTTTCTGTCGTCATGGTAACTGTCATTAATATTATTATTATTATTATTATTATTATTATTATTATTATTATCTCCAGAAGGCACTAAACTAATTTTTAATATATATATATATATATATATATATATATATATATATTATATATATATATATATATATATAATATATATATATATATATTCGTGCCGAATAGGTAAAACTTGCAATTTTGGCTTAAATAGCAACACACTTCTTGCCGAACAAGACAAGCGAAAATTTGTGTATACAATAATTTCGTGTATGCAATCATTCTGAACCTAACGAAAAAAAAAAATCATTGTGTTCGGTTATTATTAAATTATTGTAAACTTATCTGAAATATATTTAGTTGGATGAGACTAAATTAAATTGCGCTTGTTATAATAAGGTTAGGTAAGTTTTTTAAGGTTCTTTTGGTACAAAATTATTCCTTTTTACATTAACATGAGTGAAAAAATATATCTTTAAACGTATTAGAGAAAATTTTAAACGAGTACTTGCTAATTGACTAATTTTACCTATTCGGCGCGACATATATATGAGAAATAAATAATATAAGGAAAAACGTTCTAGTTTTATTGGGAACACTTATACACTGTGAAGATGAAAGGTATAAAATACTGACACGATGTAATAATAATAATTATAATATACTCGCCCGTCCCGGGTTGGTCCGTCTCAAACCCAACCCTACCTAACATTCTCCACCTGACTCTCCACACTGTATATACTCCTGTACTCTTTCCCTAGGCAGATCTGTTTATGACTTGATATAAAGGCCACTGTTTGGGCGAAACGTAGTCAATAAAGGCTCACTTTATACTACACTTATACACTGTCGTCTTGGCTTTCATCTTCTTATAACCATAACTCCTAAATCTTTTTCACGTTCTCTTTGACTAAGATCAACATTATTTAGATTGTAAGTTCCATAGATATTTTTATTTCCTAGGGTAGGAAACTTGCACTTGTCTGTTGAACTGCATCTGTGACTTCCGGCTACAACTCCAGGCTATCCAGGGTGTACTGGCTTCAATAATGTTCATCCAACTAGATATATTTTTGTACACCATAAGGAGGGGCACACGCCATGGGTTCGAGTCCCACTCGTTCCATGATTATTTATGTCGCTTGTTATTCCCTCAACCATGTCGTTTATGTAGATTGTGAACGACAAGGGGCCTAATACTTACCCCTGTGGAACACCACTTGTAATGGGTTCCCATTCTGTCTCATTCCTCACCATTAATACAAACTCTCCATGTTGCTTATCCGTCAGCCATACCTCGACCCAGGGGATCATGTCTCCTATACCATGGACCGCTAATTTCTTAATTCCCTAAGTGTGAACTTTATCACGGGCCTTTCTGAAACCATACACACAATATCCATATTCTGTATCTTGTTCTGTCGCCTCGCATACCTTGGTGGAAGAAAGTAGATTCGCGAGGCGAGAATACCACTTGTACCACAGTAATAAGCTTCAGTGGTCAGTTTATATCTTTCAGGGTAGCTTCAGATTGCATCGCAGTTACATAAATTTCCCCCCACAACCGAGTTTAGATTGATTGGGCTATAATTTGAAGCTAAGGACCTTTGTAAATGCGTATCGCATTTGCTGTTTTCCACTTCTCCGGCGTGATACCTGTTTGTAGTGATTTGTTGAAGAGACCAGTCGGTTGTGTACCGAGTTGCTGGTTACGTTGTTCAACAACCCTTGGGACCACCACTATCTAGGCCCCGTTGTGTGTTTGGTTTTAATCTATTGGAGAACCATGCCACTAGTGGCTGATGTGGTATAATATGGCAGATCAGCGTCACACTGAGCGGGACCAACCACCGTCACGCTAAGCAGGACGCACCAGCGTCACACAAAGCGGGATTGAGGAATATAGAGATAGTGTAATCTATGTAACATGTCAAGATAATCTTATTAATGAAAATAAGATACAAGACATATTAAGTAATTTTCCACAGGATATATATATGAGGTGCACAATAAACTAGCAACTTCGGTGGTAAAATCTAATCTACTTAGTGGGGTCAACCAGCGTCACACTGGGGTCAACCAGCGTCACACTGAGCGGAAAACACAATAGCGTCACAGTGAACGTGAAACACCAGTGTCACACTGAGCGGGATACACCAGCGTCACAGAGCGGGTTACATCAGCTTTACACTGATCGGGGCCAACCAGCGTCACACTGAGCGGGCTCATCTACCGTCACACTGAGCGGAACCAACCAGCGTTGTACTGTGCGGGACACACCAGCGTCACACTGCGCGGTACACATCAGCTTCATACTGAGCGGGACACACCTGCGTCACTGAGCGGGACACCAGCGTCACACTGTGCGGGACACCAGCGTCACACTGAGCGGGACACCAGCGTCACACTGAGCGGGACACCAGCGTCATACTGTGCGGGACACACCAGGGTCACACTGTGCGGGACACACCAGCGTCACACTGCGGGACACCAGCGTCACACTGTGCGGGACAAACCAGCGTCACAATGTGCGGAACACACCAGCGTCACAATGTGCGGAACACACCAGTGTCATACTGAGCGTGACACACGTACGTCAAAATGTGCGGGACAAACCAGCGTCACACTGAGCGTGACACACCTGCGTCACAAATTGCAGGACAGACTAACGTCACGCTGAGCAGGACATCAGCGTCACAATGTGCGAGACACCAGCATCACACTGAGCGAGACACACCAGCGTCACAGTGAGCGGGACACACCAGCGTCACAGTGAGCGGGACACACCAAAGTCACACTGAGTGTGACACCAGCGTCACACTGAGCAGGACACATCAGCGTCACACTGAGCGGGACCAACCAGCGTTCCACTGCGGGATACACCCGCGTCACACTGAGCAGAACACACCAGTCACACTGAGTGCGACACCAGCGTCACACTGAGCGGGACACATCAGCGTCACACAGCGGGACCAACCAGCGTCACACTGAGCGGGACCAACCAGCGTCACACTGAGCGGGGCCAGCCAGCGTCACACTGAGCGGGGCCAGCCAGCGTCACACTGAGCAGGACACACTACCATCACACTGGGCGGGACACACCAGCGTCACACTGAGCGGGGCCAGCCAGCGTCACACTGAGCGGGGCCAGCCAGCGTCACACTGGGCGGGACACACCAGCGTCACACTGAGCGGGGCCAGCCAGCGTCACACTGAGCGGGGCCAGCCAGCGTCACACTGAGCGGGGTCAACCAGCGTCACACTGACCGGGGCCAGCCAGCGTCTCACTGAGCGGGGTCAACCAGCGTCACACTGAGCGGGACCAGCCAGCGTCACACTGAGCGAGACACCAACGTCACACTGAGCGGTACACACCAGTGTCACACAGCGGGATACACCAGCGTCACGCTGAGGGGGCACACTAGCGTCACACTAAGCGGGATACACCAGCGTCACGCTGAGGGGGAGTCACAAGCGTCAGGCTGAGGGGGGACACCAGCGTCACACTTCGGGACACACCAGGGTCACGCTGAGTGGGACACACCAGCGTCACACTTCTGGACACCAGCGTCACGCTGAGGGAGACACCAGCGTCACACTGAGCGGGATACACCAGCGTCACGCTGAGGAGGGACACCAGCGTCACATTTCGGGACACACCAGGGTCACGCTGAGTGGGACACAGCAGCGTCACACTTCTGGACACAGCAGTGTCACGCTGAGTGGGACACAACAGCGTCACGCTGAGTGGGACACCAGCGTCACGCTGAGTGGGACACACCAGCGTCACGCTGAGTGGGACACAGCAGCGTCACGCTGAGTGGGAAACGACAGCGTCACGCTGAGTGGGACACGGCAGCGTCACGCTGAATGGGATACACCAGCGTCACGCTGAATGGGATACACCAGCGTCACACTTCGGGACACACCAGCGTTACGCTGAGGGGGACACCAGCGTCACACTGAGTGGGACACACCAGCGTCACACTGAGTGGGACACACCAGCGTCACAATGAGTGGGTCGACGGTAACTTAGAATTTATTAATCTCAAATAGAATATGAAATAGACATGGGCGTTTACCTCTGGGCGTCGGATCGTGCGGGCGTGAGGCGGAGAGGACGGTCAGACGGGTGGCATTGTGCTGTGGGTGGGCGTGGGCGGCGCCGCCCGTGCCTGTGAGCGACCCAGTGCCGTCAGCGTCGCGGGCGTGGGCGTGGGCGTGCGTGGTGTCGGCGTGGGTGGCATGGTGACCGCCCGAGACCAGATCGTAGAGACCATCTGTTAGACCGCCCGTCAAGGTGTCCATTTTGTTGTGCGTATGACGGTCAGGGTGGAGTGACGGTCAGGGTGGAGTGACGGTCAGGGTGGAATGACGGTCAGGGTGGAGTGACGGTCAGGGTGGAGTGACGGTCAGTGTGGAGTGACGGTCAGTGTTCAGCTGTGCTGGGGGAGGCCAGAACAAAGAGAACACGGATGGGGGGAGGAATGGTTCTTCAGGGGGGAAGAGAACACACACTTTGGCGGCGGTAATGGCGGTGGCTGCTGCTGCGGCGGCTGCTGCGGCTGCGGCTGCCGCTAAGGAAGGCTCTCACCAGCACCGCCTCACAACACTAAACTGTCGACAAATGATGGCCACAGATCTGAAAGTCTGCCTTAATCCAGCTTGATACTGAGTTTTAAGAGGAATTAGAGCCCAGGCGGGGGCGGGTTTAGAGCACAGCAAGTTGATAGTGAGCGTGTGTTACCACAAGCGTTGTATCAAATAATGCAGAGCGGATAAGTCGGCAGGTTAGCACCCCGGGGCTCCCACCCGTGGGCGGGGCCGCCGCCGCCGCCACAACCTCTGCCCACCAATGGCAACCCCACCCTGACACCCGCTCCACCAATAGCAACGCCGGGGATCCCGGCCAATCAGGGCCTCGCTTCCCGAGGGAGGGGCTACGGCACTAAATGACGTTTGGGGAAATTGTTTATCTGCGTCTTTGTTCTAAACTTGTATTTTGACAATAAATTGATAGTCTAACGGTTATATTTCCACGTGGTACTATTTACTACATCGATTAGTGTAACTCTGCGAGGTTGAGCGGTAGCTCCGGGGCCCCGCGGGGGGTGAAGATGCGGCTGCGGCTGCGGTGGTTCAGTCTGGCAGTTGAGGGAGAAAAGTGGATCGCGTCTCAGCGCTGACTTTGGAAAGAAGAGAGTGTGTTGCCAGATTGTTATTTTTGTAGTAGGGATTGCGAAGTACTCTCTGTAAGATCCATCTTCCAGAAGAGAGAGAGAGAAAGAGACAGGGAGGGGGGAACTCTTGCCCCCCTTTACCACTTTCCCCTTACACATCAACTGTCGAAATGTTTTTACTCCCCCTTCCCTCCCCTTGTTCTCCCCTTGTCTTCATCTAAAACAACAGAGAACCTGTTTTTTCAGGTTCTTTCTAACTTCCTAGGCTTCTATCGATTCCTTTCTTGAACGTCTGTAGTTGATGGACGCCTCTTGGTGTGTGTGTGTGTGTATACATCTGTTAATGTTATTGTAGACCTGTGTTTGTTATATTATTGAGGTCAGTCGTATACAGAGTTATTGCATTATATATATAGTCATAATATAGATTATGTCAGTTATAAGTATACTGAAGTGGTTCTCTGTAATGACTTTACCTTAGTTCTTTTAAAGGGATTGAATTCCATTAGAGAATAATCTTTTGCGGTTTTAGAGCTTTCCGTGAAGATACTACTACTACTGCTGCTGCTGCTGCTGCTGGCTCCTGAAGGAGAACGAGTTCTGCAGCGTTGCTGAACCCATAGTCCTTCGGGAACCAGAGACGGGTCATCTCAATATTAAGACCCGTGCCAGGACCCCAGTCTGGGCGAACATTAAACGTACCCAGGTAAATCTGTTTGTGACTTGATAAAGTCCACTGTGTGGATGAAACGTAGTCAATAAAGTATCACATTATACTGCATTTGTGTTTATTTTTTCCAAGTCCTCACTTAACGTCGTCGATAGGTTCTTGGAAACTGCGACTTTAAGTGAAAGGATGTATAGCGAAACCACACCTTGCTGTCAAACCTCTATTAAACTTCTAGTTTTGTTTCTGATATTACACTTTTTTTTGGGCCACATCGTTTATTCTCGTGCATTTTTATGATTATTACATACTTGACAAATTTTTATTTTACTCTCTCCACACAGTGGCCCCGGCCGGGAATCGATTTTTTTCTCATCAACGTTATAACGAAACGACGTTAAACGAAGGGATGTTGAACGAAGTGACGTTGAACGAAACGTTAAACGAAGCGTTGAACGAAACGATGTTATTCAAGGACTTCCCGTACACCTGGCTGCCAATGCACACTACACATGCGGCTGTGCATACACACACACACACAAACACACACACACACACATACATATATATATATATATATATATATATATATATATATATATATATATATATTGTGTGTGTGTGTGTGTGTGTGTGTGTGTGTGTGTGTGTGTGTGTGTGTGTGTGTGTGTGTACATATATAATTTTCATTCTAATTTCTATACAGTTCTGTTTCTTTTAGTGTTTTCTTTCAACTTCATGGTGATGTGGAATATAATTCTTCCTCCATAAATCAAGCGTGTCGTAAAAGGCAACTAAAATGCTGGGAGCAAGCGGCTAGTAACCCCTTCTGTGTAAATCACTAACAGAAAAAAAACTAATTTTAATGTTTGTGCATGAGTGTAGTACATAGAAGAAAGTACAGGTAATGAGGGGGGTCAATCAAGTATGAGGTAGATTTAAAAGTGCAGTGTTAATGTTCAGCAGAAGTTTGTGGGTATAGGTTAGGTACTGATGGGCAGAGAAACGATGGGTGGAATGAGTTTAAGAGGGTGAAAAGGGAGAAAAAACTAGCATATGAGAGATTTTTACAGTATAGGCATTATATATGGAAGGTAGAAAGAAAAAAGAAAGGCTAAAAGAATGGTGAGGAAATGTAAAAGATTAGAGAGAGTTGGTGAAGCTGTCATCATATTTTGTCGAGTAGTTTAAGAGAGAGTAAAGAGTTTGTATACGGAAGTGAGGCTCAGGTTAGAGCATGGATCAGAGAGAGAGAGAGAGAGAGAGAGAGAGAGAGAGAGAGAGATTGTTTTCCAGTAAATGTAGGACTTTGGCAAAGATGTATGATGTCACTATTGATTTTTTAGTAATTTTTTATAGTTGGGATTGTAAAAGAAGCGAATGCTAGATTGTTGGGGAGAGGTGTGGGATTAAAAGAACGAATTTGATACAAAATGGGAGTTATCACAGTTGCTCTTTGCCGAGGACAGTTGTTTTGGGAGATTTCGAAGAGAAATTGCGAAGGTTGGGGGAGAAATTTGGGAGGATATGGAAAAGAAGAAAATTACAAGTGAACATAGGAAGAAGCTTGTAGCAATGAGGAGGCTGGAGGCGGTGGAGATATCGTATTTGAGGGCAGTGTGTTGTTGACCTGGAGTCGCTTCTGGAGGTCACTGTCCCCGCAGCCTGGTCCCAGACCAGGCCTCCTGGTTGCTGGGCTAATCGATCAAGCTGGTGGTGCTAACAGCCTGCAGTCCAATATATGCAACACAGCCTGGCTGATCAGAAGCTGTTTTGAAGAATCTGTCAAATTCCCTCTTGAAGACGGCTGGATGTTTGTCTGTAATCCCTCTTTTATGCTTATGCAAGAAGGGAGTTAACAATGATTGAGTTCTCTGTCATCGTTCCCCGCTTGTCATTGGAGGCATCCTGTACCGTCTGCCAGCCTCTTTTATTCATTAGTAGTTTTTTCAGTGTGCAGGTTTGAGACCAATCCCTTCAGTATCTTTCCCGTTGTAGATTGTGATGTATCTTTCTCGCCTACTTTTTAAGGAGTACATCTCTGGGGACAAGATCTCTCGGTAATCTAGGTACCTGACTGAGTTTATGCGAGCTGTATGTGGTGTGAATATCATGCAGAGAATTCGGAGCTTAGAAATTAGAAGAAAGTGTGCAGTTACAAAAAAATATAATTCAGAAAGCTGAGGAGGGGCTATTGAGGTGGTCTGGACACTTGGAGAGGATCTGGCAACTATGATGATTAGGAGGGTATATAAATCTGGATAGGATGGGTAAGGGTCGTCGCAGGAAAAATTAGAGGGAGGTGGTAAAGGTTTTGAGTGCTAGGAGCTTGAACATTCAACAGGCTTGTGTGAGCGTGTTGGGAGTGAGTGGATGGAGCAAATGGTTTTTATGATTTTACATGCTGTTGGAGTTTTGAACAAAGTAACATTTATGAAGGAATTCAGGGAAACCTATCAGCCGGACTTGAGTCCTGGAGGTGGCAAGTACAGTGCCTGCACGCTGAAGGAGGGCTGGGGAAATCTTAGTACTGAGAGTCATCTGAACGGTGATACCAATATACTTCTGGTAAGACAGTGATTGGATGGATAGTTGTGGATGTTTACTCTTGTTTGAGTTGCCTCTTGTAGACGTGTGTACTCACCTATATGTGGTTGCAGGGGTCGAGTCATAGCTCCTGTGTATGTATTACATTATATATATATATATATATATATATATATATATATATATATATATATATATATATATATATATATATATATATATATATGAATAGGTAAAACTTGCGATTTTGGCTAAATAGCAATGTTCTTCTTGCCAAATAAGTCAAGCAAAAATTTGTGTATGCAATAATTTTGCAAAAATCATTCTGAACCTAACGAAAAAATATATTTCATTGTGTCTGTTTATTATTAAAGTATTGTAAACTTATCTAAAATATATATTGTTGGATTAGACTAAATTAAATTGCGCTTGTTATAATAAGGTTAGGTAAGTTTTTTAAGTTTTTTTTGGTACAACATTATTAATTTTTACATTAACATAATTGAAAAAAATATATCTTTAAACGTATAAGAGAAAATTATAGAAAAAACTTCATTTTAAATGAGTTCTTGCTAATTGACCAGTTTTACCTATTCGGCACGACATATATATTCCATTATCAGTCTTTCCAAACTGGAACACTTTTCTTCCTTTACCTCAGTTTCTCTTATATTTACTTCCCTTTCTCTTTCATTCCCGTGTTCTCTATTTCTCCTCCCTTCCTCTCTTTCTCCCTCCCTCCCTCTCTTTCTCCCTCCCTCCCTCCCTCCCTCCCTCCCTCCCTCCCTCCCTCCCTCGTGAATAATGGTGTTGAGGGCATCATTCATATCTCGACGGGCAGCGTCGATGGTGCAGCAGACACACGCACACTCCCTCTCACTCCCACTCCCTCTCACTCCCACTCCCACTCCCACTCTCTGTTCCTCTCCCAACCTTCTGCTCCCTCCTCCTCCTCACTTTATATCCCACTCACCACTTCTTACTATCTTTCCCACTCTTCCTCCCTCTCTTTCTCCCTCCCACACACTCCACCCCACTCTTTACACTCTCCAGCGTTCCTCCGTCCCATTTTTTCCAGCTTCCCTCCCATCCACTCCCATGTTCCCGAACATTGTTTTATCTGTTTGATAAAGTAGTGTAAGGTAACCATCAACGTTACTCTTGATGATTACCGTTGATGCTTAAATTTGACAGTTACTCTTGGTATTTATATTAGACAGTTACCGTTGGTAGTTACCGTTGATATTTACATTTAACAGTTACCGTTGATATTTATATTTGGCAGTTACCGTTGATATTTACGTTTGACAGTTACCGTTGATAGTTGCTGCTAACAGTTACCGTTGATAGTTACCGTGTCTGGGAATGAGATGTTAGA